CTGTTTACACGCTACAAAGACCCATGTCGAGTTGGTCCTGGGGAGGATAAGCCATGGGCAATTGGTAAGAGCTTTTCTGGCTACCAGTGTCTGAACATCCACTTGTCTGTGCCTCAGATGGCATCTCTAAGGAGCAGGCAGTTCAGCTAACTGGCAGGAAGAATGTGGTGAAGACCAAATATTGACAAGGGGTATTTCTGTAATGTGTATTTGATAAACCTTAACAGCGTCTTGTTGAATTATAATTAAGAACCAGAGATGTCAAACTTCAGGCCCCCTTCTAGAACTTATGCATCGAGCTACTTGAATGCCTTCCCACACCTATTCTACTTTTAAAAAAATCTCTAGATTACTTGAAGGGGAAGGGGGGGGGGAAGCCAAATTATTGTTTCTGTACTTTCTGCAGGCACTGAAAGCCTGCAGCTTTTGATCAGAATGTCAGAATGATCCATGCGGTGTTCTATAAATACCGTGAGGATGTACCAAAGTAATTCAACAACGGTACGAACATGTAGGGTTCACTTCAGAAAAGATTGCATGGAAATCAGAGATACTCATACCTGGTGAAAATCAGTTGAACTTGGGGAAGTTTTAGATCAGGACTCAGACTTTCTCTAGAGGAGCAATTATAACTGTTAAGATACTAAAGGTAAGAATGTGGAGCTGTTTAATCACGTGGCTTGACTCTGTTGTAGCAGAAAAACAAAAAAAACCCCGAGCCATTGGGGCTGAGAAACCGGAAGGGTGGAGGCTGTGTTTTGAGAGGCGGCAGGCAGCAGGGGCTGGGGCCAGAGGAGACGGGAACTCGAAACGCTTCCCGTCAGAGCGGTCCCCTCTGCCCCACAGGCGTGCTGCCTGCACACAGCCGTGCCGGGAGCTACGCTGGGACAGTCACCTCTGCCTTTCTGTCCACAGGTACCTTGTTGGATCCTGAAGGGCTGTACGATGAAGAAGTGAGCACTCCAGATAACCTACAGAAGTACGCCATTCCAAACCCTCCCACCGACTTTAGACAGTTCCTTAAAAAGCCAGTTCATTGCTTGCTGTTCAACATTTCACAAGTTGAGGGGGGTTCTGTGGGCTGTAAAAAAAAAAAACAAACCCAAATGTAATTTTTTTACTCAGGGGTGCTTGGGGAAGAGGAAAAAAAGGGAAAGAAAAATGGCTGCTTCTCTAATAGAATGGGCTTTGATGGGTGAAAAGATGAGAGCAGCTGCAGTCGGTGTTTTTCTGTCTCTGAAGTTGGTCCTGCGTGGACAGGCCTCCAGGACAAGACACTCCAAGCACTGCTGCGACGGGTACGCGGACAGCTCATCCGCAAGCCCTTCTGCCAGCAGCCAGGCCAGTGGTCAGGGCACTGTAAAAGGCAGCAACAAAAGGAAACATCGTTTTCCTCAAATAACAAACCCACAAAGTTTGAAACACGACCCCCAACCCAACAACTGTTTGCCCATTCTAGAAAGCTCGCAGAATTCGATACATCAAAAAAAGGAAGCTCATAACTAGAGAGAGGAATTCAATAGCAGATCAAACGTAACTAGGAATATGGCTTGATCTCTGTCCGTGCAGCGTTACTTTTAAGGAGCGTTTGCTCTTGAGAAACAAGTATCTCTGGTTTGAGCAAGTGGACTTTGAGAAATACAAAAAAATATAATTATAAAAGATGTTCTAGCTGTTCATTACCGAACTACACTAAAGTTATTTGAATTAATGAGCCTGTGCAGATGCTTCAGTTAACACACGCAACAGGAATGGTACATTATAGAGGCAGAGCTGATGCTGGCGTTTTTACTCACCGAGTACAGCACACTGCATGGTACAGATGGACACCAGGTCGAACGGATGTGGTGAGGCTACCCCCTGAAGCCTTCTTTGGATCCGTTTTGAGCAAAGAAACTGAATTCTAGACATAAGGTCTGGGTTTGGTTTATATTCAGAATAAGGATTTGGTACAGCAAGTCATGCTTTGTGCATTCAAGAGCCTGCAAAATTTCCAGGCGTTTCTGTTCACGTGTTGAAAACATGAATTTGGTGCATGTGAAAGGGATTTCTGGAAAGCAGAAGTAGGGTAATTTGGCCCTACAATCAAGTTTGCAAATGCAAATCCGTATGTGGGTGTAACATTCTATTTTACGGTTCCAAGAGCAGGCTTGGAGCTTTTAAAAAAAAATAAATTAAAAAAAAACCCCAAACTAAAAAAAACCCTTATGTTTTCAAGCGGCCTTTTGAGACAATCTGTCACCAAATTGCTTTGGGGGTATTTTGTTTTGTTCCCTGAAGAGCTCCTTGTATTCAGCAGTTAAGTTCCACTGACAAATACGTGACTGATAGATAAGAGAGCCATCAAATGATCAACGAAGATTTGACAGTATTACTGCCACGACCTCTGTGTATGTACAGCACCTCAGTGGAACTGGAAAATATTCCTCAGTGTTGGTAACAGAATAGACGCCAGACTTCTTGCCTGCTGCATCTGGCGTTCAGTTTCCTGCCATGTATCATCACCCTCTTCGAGTGATGAAAACCCCCTCGGTCAGGCTGGAATTTCCAGGAGCTTTCGAGGCAGGACTGCCAGGACGCGGGGCTCCGCTAGTGTGCAGTGTGGGGGTGTGCTTGTGTGTCAGAGCAACCAGCACTGCGCAAGAGGCCCGGAGAGCCCGTCCTCCCGTCTCTGCCAGGGACTTGCAAACCTGAAAATCGCCAGTAAGTTCAGTAAAATTTAAAGCCGTTAACGGACTCTGGGCTTTACAGGCGTTTAACCGTCCCGCAGCCCCGCAGCTGCGGAGCACTGTCTAGCTAGCCAGTATCATTCGTATGGACAGCACAATAGAGTGCAGCCTAGAACTGATCCCTTCTCACATGTTTCAGTGACAGACCTTGCTCAAGCTTTACAGATGTTTCAAACGGGCATTTCAGTTGGCAGTGCAAGCTACCCAGAGAATGATCTCTTCATCAGCACTCTTCTCTAGTTTATAAATAAAATCAAGTAGGTCGCATCACTAAACTAATTAGGCCATAAAAGCAACAGAACAACAAGTTCTGAAATATCTCTTTCATGTTAAGTACAGCATACGTAAAACAGCGGACTAGAAGAACGCACTTGGTACAAATAATGAGCAAGTCATTTATAATTATAGAACAATTAATAAGCTGCATGCAACAATCTGGGCCCTACCACAGTGCTGGAAGCCGCAAAGCTTCTGCTGGGAAGAGCTGGGTGAAATGCCCACACGTAACCTCCTCTGACAGAGGCGACGGTCACCTTCCGACGCAGCGCTGGAATGAGCCTGTTCGCCCCTCCCAGCCTGGAGCAGAGTCTGCCACAGGAGAGCACGTCACCGCGCAGCTGGGAAACAGGACTGAAATGCCCCTTTTTCCAGTCTCCACTGCTGGGCAGTGGCTCCCAAGTCTGGGCGACAGGCTGCAACACCAGTAAGGAGAGTCTTCCTTAACTGGGATGGATGCTTCTTGCCGAATGACAGACGGTCCCTGGAGCTTTATGGTGAGGGAGCAGGTTCTGCTTTGTGGCTCCGGTGCACGTGCTGCTCTTCACAGCTCCGGCCGGCACTACAAACCAGCCGCCGGCCAGAAGCTGCCCGGCAGAATTCTCATACCTGAACTCTGCTGTTATTTGGGACTGAAAATCTTTCAAGGGAAAAATAAGGTTCCAGGTACCTTTTGTCCTCCCTCTCTTTGTGTCCTGTGAATTCAGACAATTGTTCTGGCAAAATTCAGGTTCAGTTGTGCAACTCAGTCATAATTATAAACTGCTCGCATTTAACTGTGAGCGCGGCACAGCCAGATGTCCAGCGCTCAGGTCTGCTTCCTGCAGACACCGACACAAGGCACTGCACACACAGGGGTACAAGCCTCAGTCAGAAGCAGATGCCTGCGCCTTTACCACTTGTTTTCCTTATGTATTTGAAATTAACATTTCCCTTCCGTGAGCAGTGGTGCAGGTTAAGCAAATACCCAGTGTTCACAGACTTTTTAAAAGGACGGACTTGAAGCTAAAACAAATTCATCTTTTAAATTAATGCAAATAAGATTTTTCTGCAGTAGTACTGCAGCACTAATCAGCAGTTTCTTCCACTTTGTTACTTAATTAGCTTTGCCAGATATAAATACAGTTTTTGAAAGAGGTCAGTCCCACCAGAGAGCTTGCTTTCTTGAGCCTAGAGGAATTTCGGGAAGTGAATCGTTTGCAGCAGCTCTTTGTAGAGTCAGCTTGCAAATGGGGTGCCGACAGTGAGCTAATTTAATGGGAGTTATTAGATGACAGTCTAAAACTGAATAGTGCATAAAAGGAAGCTTACTTTCATGAACTGGTTACAGTAAACTCTGAGAACCTTCAATACCTCACCGAGTCCAAAGGCAGTTAAGAAAAGTTCTGATTAAATAACTGTGTGACCAGAATTTTGTCATTATTATCTTCTGAAGGCACATAAAGTACTTCTTGTATGTCTGACGTGACCCAAACTTACAGGTGATAATACCGAGACCTAAGCAACTGCAGCAGGTGCTGCATCCCTTCTGCCACCCTTCAGATCCTTCCACAGAGACAGAATTTGACAAAGAAACCCTCTGAATCGCAGACATCAGAACACACGACGAGAGTCGGGTGCTCGTTTCTCTTTCATTCTGTACTCTCACCTGCATGCAGTAAAAAATTCCTAAACCCAACCCCATAAGACCCATCCAAAGTCAAATCTTAAAAACTGGGTGGTCAAAAATATCTTATTTTTTTCCAAGGTGAAATTAAAGGCTTTGTACCTGCTAGGACCCAAGCTCATGGCTTGGTGTTTCTCCTGCGACAGTTGATGATGTAGCTTAATGGTGTCATCAACTCTTACAAGGGAAACCACAGAAGCTTGAGCTCAGGTTCTGGCAGATAAGTAAAGCAGAATGACGTTCAGGGAGGTGGTTTTGGAAGTAGTTTGTTTATGTTCTGAGCCAGACAGCAACCCCCCACCTCCTCTGTCCCTTTCTGCACACACAGTCACCACGCCAAGCAGCCGTGACCGTAGTTGCTATGAACTGTCTGCGTAATGCCCAACACGGGCAGCCCCCGTGTGCAGCTCCTGCTCTGGCAGGCACGGTAGTCTCTGTTCCCTTTAGCACTCCTCTGGCAGATACTGTAAATGGAACACAAAAAGGCAAACCGCGTTTCCTTTTCAATCCAGTACCACGGCAGAACCGTACAGAATAGCACAGCAGCGCAGAATTACTGTGACAGAGCGACGGGGACCTCTCTGCGTTACCTGCTCCAAAGCCACGTTCAAAGCAGGGCTAACTCCAAAGTTTGATCAGGTTGCTCAGGGCCTTAACAGTCTTCTGTATAAAACCTACTGTTCAGGTTTAAGCAGCCAAACTAAAAATTTTAATCAGAGCGCTGCAGATGGTTTGCCTGAACACAAGACTGGTATCTAGAAGACCGATTCTTAATTTTGACTGCTTCGGTCTATGGCCTTGGGTTGGGCAATCGCTGTGCAAGACGGGGGCAGCGCTCACACACCCATGAGTAAGTCCGTCTCTGTAGAGGAGCCACATACCGGAATCAGATCAATTAGGCTGTCAGTACTAGTGAAGTAAGAGCTTTGGTGAAGTAAGAGCTTTGGTTCCAAGCCACAGTAATCTGATGCTGGGGCTTGCTCAAAAGCAACGACCACGTGCCCGAATGCGGCTGAAAACCGTTCCTCATCCACAGCCTGCCTGTACAGCTGGTTGTCTGCATTGCAGCAGGAGCTGCTCTGAGCAGAACCAAGAGGTTTGTGTCAGAGCACTCAGCTTTGTTCTGAAGTGATCCAGGAAAGCTTCCTCCTCTGCTGGCTTCAGCAGAACTGGAGTGTGTTCTCCTGGCTGCAAGGGCAGGTCCACAGGCCCCTGCGCAGCACCAGGGATGCCAAGCCCGCCGTGAGGCTTTCAGAGCACGCTCAGCAGTCAGCACAGCCGCCTGCTGGAAAACTGCTTTGGAAGAAGATGCGCATCCCAAGTTTACCAGTCTCTGGACAGGCTTACTGGGGATCTGGAGAGTATCGAGCGTAACGCGCACAGGGGCAGAATGAGCAAACACGTCATTTGTTTTGTTTTTTTAATGAAACAGGGTGCTGGAAAGCGAAGAAGGAAGGAAAGGATACTTAGTCTATCCCACCAGCAAGAACCACAGCTCCAGTCAAAAGGGGAGGAAGGCGTCACTGAAGGGGAATGGGAGGAGGATTGACTATATGCTTTACACAGAAGAAGGTCTCTACCTGGAATGGAAAGTGGTGAGTTTCAGAGCTGACAACAAGAGCCACAGCTCCCATAACAAACTTGTGTGGGTGGCAGAACTGCTGTCTGCTTTCGCATGCGAGTACCGAGTTTATAAACCTGTTACATAAACAACTTTAAGATGAGTTTAGGGATTCTAGTAGCAACACTGGTAGAGGTGCTGCTCTTCAAACACAAACAAACAAAACCCCTTGTTTCCCTTCCGCAAACCTGTGCCAGACTAAGGGTTTTGGCTGGTGCTTTCCATGCCGGCAGTCTGAATATTTTTCAATCTTTTCAAAGTGTCGGGGTGTTCTTTTATTACGCCTGTGAAAACCTAGCTAAGTTACAAGTCTGTGATGCACAGGCAGAAGCTGACATGGGCTACCCAGAATGAGAATTGCCGTGCACTGTTTGCTTCCTGATGCAGGACCTCACCTTACACAGGACCCCACAATGAAGAAGAGAAACTAGTTCATGCTTATGTACCACAGCCCGCTGCAGCCGCTGCAGGAGAGCAGGTGGCAGAGCAGTTCTGTGCAGCTTAGCACACGGCACCTTGACCTGTCTGCGCCCTGTCTGCACGCGCTCTCTGGGCACAGCAGCTGCTTTTAAGGTTTCCCGTTTCAGATGCACAAACGCCCGTGGCACGTCTGTATGGCAAACCCATCTTACAATTTTGCATAAACAGCAACAAAACCAGTATTTGAACAGCTTTGACCCAGATCAGGCCTTCAATAAGGCCCATGCTGGCAGCATGAAGAGGACTACAGTATCTGTGACTCTTGCAAGCGGTTCTCAGAGCACTGGCAAAGTAAGGAGCTGGCCCGTAGGCGGGGATGCCGACATTGTACCAAGTGGGCGTTAAGGTTGCTCCCTCGGCTTTCAGAAGCTGGGAAGCACGCAGCATTTCCCACAGAACTTTAATTTGGTCCTGTGAAACGCTGCCAGAACAAAGGCTGGAATTCAGAGACACGAGGAGGTGGGTTCCTGACCGCCTGACGTCCCCACGAAGTGTACTGCCTCAGCCTAACAACGGCAGGCTGCCTCTCCAGCCTCACGAGGTACCCAGCGCCGGCCCCCGCTCCCAGGCGAGTGACTCCACACGCCCCGGGGCTGCCCACCGCAGCAGTGCCAATGAGTGGTGGAACTCACAGACAGTACTGGAAAGGGACAGGAAAGGGACAGCAGGTTTCATCCAGCCTAGTTCAGCCGTGTGGCGTGTAAATGGTGCACCACACTGACAGGCCCGGAGTGGCAGGTGGTCCACCATTAGCCCAGCCGAGCTAGACTGGCCCCACACATCTGCTGATACGGTGAGGCAGCGCAAAGGAAACTAAAAAGAGGCAGAAGGGCAGAGTCCTGCGGTGGGGTGTAACGGATCACTTTTCCAATTCCTGCTTTCTTGCTCTTGTTTGCCTTCTACAGGAAGTGGAAGAGTTCAGCTTTATTACCCAGTTGGCAGGCCTGACAGACCACCTACCAGTAGCAATGCGTCTCATGGTGTCTACAGGAGAAGATGACCCTTAACACTGACGATCTTGGAGAGAGCAGAAGAGGGAAGCGTTAACGATATTCAGAAAATAGCAGAGGATAAGAACAAACTGTTCTGGTGCCACATTAGGAAAGACGACCAGACCTGACCCGGGCGACTCGCAGACCGTACCAACAGTGGCGACACGGAAAGGAAGAGAAGAAGGGGCGGCGGCCAACAGCCACTGTCACAAGTTGCTCTGGCAAGGACAGGCCTGTACTGCAATGCTTTCACTGTGGACCAAACGGAACCAAGATGGAAGTCCTAATTCCTTCTGAACCAGTGCCATTCTTACTAAAACATGTTTTTATACTAATATATAGCACAATTTAGTTTGTAATTAGTCTGTGAGTTAGTGCCGCTCAATGGTTTTTTGCATCATTTCTTTGTATAACTACGAAGCTAAAGCTTTTCTTCTTTTTTTAGCCTGTTAAAGTTGTAGTAGCGTGCTTGCATCAGTAGCATGCGCCCGCACTGCATGCCACTCTGAGATAAAATAGTCAGTAAGATACCATGGGGAATATCGGAATGGAAGTGAGCTCCAAAATCAGACACCAGCCAAAGCAAGGCGTTCTGGGACTGGCAAACCCTTCTGTCATTACAGATAGACCTTAAACACAACAAACACAAACTCTGTTCAGTTTGCAGACCAGGATCTTCCTGTGCGATTTAAAGATACTTCAAAAGATTCGCAATTCAGACTTGTAGAACAGAGTTCTACCCGTATTCCAGCTGCGTGCCCACTAAAGTTACAAAGTGTTTTGTCTGAAAAACGACTCCAGAATTGGGCCTTTAGCTTTCTAAGCGCAACTTACTCCCTGAAGAAGAAAAATAGCTTCCCTGAAATGCCTTTTCTTTCTCTCCCGTACGCGGGGCAGTTCTGAACTAGGGTACGGGATGGTATGTGTGTTACAGTAGAGTGAGTAGATTCCTGTAGTACCGTTGGTCGCACCAGAGCCAACATTCTGCCTTAGCTAGAATGAGTACGTGGGAAATAGCTTGTAAAACGCATGCTAGATATAGTTAAAATAAATGTAAGTGACGTTCTGGGAGAAAAGTGTAGAGCAGTGTACGGCTGATAAGGCGGGAGAACCTAACGATTTTCCAAAGGAATCAGTGCACTTGAAGGGAAGGCGCAGCACGGCTAGCTACTGGAGAGCAGACTTCTGACTCAGCCGTGGGTCACTGCTTGCTGTGAGCAGAGGGCTGGTTTAGGTCTGTGAGACCCAGTTCTCCACATCTTGCACACTCACAGACTGTAACAGGCCTCCTGCCATCCAACTCATACATCCTCTCCCCTGCCATCTTATCCCCACGACCTGACCCACCCAGCCTCTGCAGCCTTCACAGAACTAATGACAAGCTGAGAATCGGGTCCATAACGAGACTCGGCATTTTTTTAGGGATTTAAATTCAGAAAGGTTTGTGTTGCTGGGAGAACAACGAGACCCCTTCCATGTTAACCGATACTTAGTTTCCTCTGCCTGCTTCCTGATGAATGTTAGCATTTATTTCCTCCTACACGACAAATTCCCTGCGTTGCAAATAGTTAAGAGGTAAACTGTTCTAGCGACGCTGGCCACTAACTCCTGAAGATGCTCTTGTTTTGGCTTAGTTTACACCTGCTAGGAATCAGCTTGAACTAAATCAGAATAGATTTAAATTGGAAATTCCAGCCTGCGCAGTGCCTGGTACTGGCTGCAGGAAACAACAGAACCGTTCCTGAGATCCGCTTGATTTTGCAAGTAGAGAAACTCCTAAAAGTGCTGGGCTAAGAGCACTGGCTGATTCCCAGCAGGCAGCAGGCCACTTCTCCCGCTCTCCCACCGCACGGGTTCCCGGCCCATTTTACGCCTCATTTCCCAGCCCTGGCGTCCCTTCAGCAGAGACTGCCTCTTAAAAAAGTGTACCGTGCCAAACCATGGGGCAGGCTGCAGGCGTCACCCACGGGGACTCGAAAACAGAACCAGACTCATTTCCCTTTTGGATAAATTGAGGAACTCAAGTTCACAGCATCAGAGACTTCAACACGCTGTCCCAGCGCACCACCAGTTTCCCACTTTGTACGTTTCTCTTTATACAGAGGGTGCATGTATGTGCAATGTGTTTTTCGGTTTTTTTATCTCTCCACCCAATTCAGAAAGACTTGTACCTGAAACAATGCTTTTACTCCTATTTTCTACCTTGCTTGTATTTTATTAACCTTTTTAAAAAACCAAACAGTATCAGTAACAGTTTATGTGCTGTCCAGCAGCTCTTTCTCAGTAGTAAGATTGAACATAAGGTACAGTATTTTTAATAGCTTTCCTAACAGTGTAAATTACAATTTGATATCCACTTCACTAAGCACCAGTTGCAGGAGCTGAATTTGACACTGCGTGGGATATAATCCTAAAACTACTGCCAAACAACGTTACATTTACAGTGAAACCAACATGGGCTAAATTACTTTTAAATTAGTTCTGTGGCTTTGTGCTGACTGAAAACCAGGCACTTTTGTCAACTTTTTGAAATGCGTTGAGAAATATTTTTTCAAATTTGAAGCAAACTGTTTTAGATTTTGATGTTCTTAGTTTCTCAGTGATCCAAGAAATGGATAGTTGTAAAATGTTCTTCAAACAACACACGTACATTTACTCAGTCTAGGCTGTTCTGACTAATTTACTGTCTTAGGGATCTCACTGTGCAAGAGGGGACGCCAGGAGGCACAGCACCACCGCACAGACGCTCCTCACTTTTCTGCATTGATCCTGTGCCTTCCGATGCCTGGGCATGCTTGCGGGAGCGGGATAGCACGCGGGCCAGGGAACGGTAACGAACGGGCTTTCCTGCCCAGAAGCGTGACCGCCTGGAGAAAACCCGGGTTTTGTCCGCAGCACTGCGACCGCAGCTCCGCAGCGCGTCTGGCAGAGTCACTCGGACAAGGCGCGAACGGGCCGCGTATCGATCAGTGCGAGCCTTAGACAGATACCACGTCACAGATTCGCATGTGGGAAAAAAGGGAGGGGGGCAGAACACACCCAGGCAATCAAACCCTGGATCGCTTTTTCAGATTCAGTCCCGCTCTCCTTAAGGACAGCATGACCCAATTTCTTAGCAGGATGTTATTTATAAGAAATTCGAGTGAAGCGAACTCCACTCCGCTTACCCCACTTTGTACAGGAATTTCAGGTATCTTCAACAAGCGGGTGACAATGCTGTTCTTAGTTTAATAACTGCCACTCACCAGGGACACTGTAGATGAAGCGTCATCTGTTTTTATAACAGCTAGATAACATCTTCTGTTTCTCATGTTCGTTTGCGTTTTACAGTAGCACGCCTAGAACAAGCGAACAAAAGTCACAAATGAGGACAGCTGAAAACTAAGAACTTCCAGAAATTTCAAGGGCGTCAGGTTCTTTATGCAGTTGGTACCTTTAGATCACTTTGAAAACACAACCTCCAGCAAACAGTCTGTAGCCTCTCGGGCACATTCCACTGCCGTGAATCTGGGCACTGTTGGTCTGAGGGATGGGTGACCCACCTGCTCCGCACCACGGCTGAGCTACGGGGGACCATGGTGCCAACACTCGTGCTACGTGAAACAGCGCTCACTGGTTTATAGCCAGTTCCAGTGGTGCGGAGCTGGTTTCACGCAGTCACAAACGGGATGCTTGGCAGAAGCCACCTAAAGCAACCAGACGTAAACCGTGCCCCAGACTGGCTCCAAGAGCAGCTGCAGCCACTGAGGTGTGGCCTGCTGCGGAGAAACCCTTGAGAGCTGTCTGGTAGCATGAGTTTACCGATTTCACGTGAGTATTACTACAAGGTTTCGTCCCAGCAGCACTCTCAGCCAGCCTGGCTAGACCCTCAGTCCTGTTTGTTGGGTGAGACAGTAAGACTTGAGGAACTTGCGATTCCGATACAGATTTTTTTTTTTTTAAATGGCCTCTGTTTGATGGTCCAGATGCAGCAGATCTGACTGTCCCCAGTTTGATCTGAGCCACCCTGGCAATCACACAGCAGCACATCACTGACAGCACATATCATCGGCTCGGAAGCGAAGTCTTTTCACTTCCTCCTGGCACTACAGGATGAGAACAGAAATGCAATTCGAGCACTTTGAAAAACTCCCAATTTTATCACCCGTTACGACGAGGGTCAAATTGTCACCGAAGGTCTCATTTTTCCATCTTGTTTTAAATATAATCTTGATGCTTTTAAAAACTTGTATTACTGCTGAGGTTTAGAAATCCTGTAAGAAGAATAACCTTTTTTATTTCAATGATTTTTCGGTATTGTATCCTTCTGGAACCTAATGTTTTTATATGGTAAGCACATACCTTCTGACATTTTGTTATAAATGTATTTAAAAAAATTAAAATTAAAATATTTTCATTGGTTTCTTTGCCTGCAAGAAAACCGCAATCTCAGACCTGATAAAACAAGGTATTTTGAACAACAGGGAGGGGTTTTTGACTTTTACTGGTGCTGAAAGGAATAACTGGTTGATGCAAACAAGACAATAAAATTTCAAGGCTCAAATGATTCTGTGCAGTCCACTTTTCTGGTTTGTGCTGTGGAGTCTGACGGCACTAGGGGATATCTGACTCTGAGATGCGGTCCGGTGTGTGGGTCAGCACGGTCTCACTGTGCTACGCCTGTTCTAGGGAATCTGCAGAAAACAAAGGGCAAAAGCAAGGGGTGCTTTTAACTCACCCTCCAGCTTGGCCTCTGCTGCCCCTCAGAACCCCCCTGCACAGACGGACCCCGCTCGGTTCTCAAGGTGTGCAGCCTTCACGCAAGTATTCACAGGGCCTGCTGCAGGCTGCAAACCTGAACCCCGCAACTCACACCAAGTCCACGCTGGAGGTACAAGAATATCCACTCCACGTTCCTTTCTGTTAGCATTTAATGTAAGACCACAACGATTTATTATGCGGTTGTACATCTTGACATCTCAACAGTTATCAAACCCTGAACTAATGGGGAGTAGTTTTTTGTCTTTACACTGTCCAGTCAAAGATAAACGAAAAACAAAACAGCCACTCCCCACCCCCATGTACGTATGTCCTTAAGAATTACACAGGATCCCAGCATGGTCGGAGCTGGAAGGGCCCTCTGTGGGTCACCCAGTCCCACCCCCTGCCCAAGCAGGGTCACCCAGAACAGGCTGCACAGGACCTTGTCCAGGCGGGGCTTGAATATCTCCAGAGAAGGAGACTCCACAGCCTCCCTGGGCAGCCTGGGCCAGGGCTCCGTCATCCTCAGAGGGAAGAAGTTCTTCCTCCAGTAGTTGAACAAAACAATGTCAAGGGAAAAGAACCCATTTTACTGGTTCAGTCTTTCTGAAGAGTCCTCAAAGTCCTTGATAAAAAGCCAGTAGGGAATCCCACCTCAAAGAACTGATTTTTCCCCACAAGCAGAAAGGAGGAAATCGGTGGAACGCAAGTGATGAAGGAAGAGCACAGTGTGCACATTTCTTGTTGGTAGCTCAGGAAGGAACCGCTCCATCTCAGGAGACAGGGTGTTGGAGACGGGTCTCTGCAGCCTCCTCCCCTGCTCTCCAGGTGGGTTGTGTCCGCATTCTGATGCTATCATAGCACTGAACTGCCACAGACCTCCTTTTCCAGCAGTGGATTCCTAGCGTGTGCCTCTCCTGCAACACCTGATCTGTTTTTCCATTGCTGCAGTTTGTATTATTATGCTCATAAATGGCTACA